TGGGTGTTCTCTGAACGGAAGCATCGGCATTGTGAACATTTATGATGAATGTGAATAATAATCTCTCTGCATTGCATACAGCGCTTACGATTCGGCTGCATTTACAGAATTTGCTATCGACAGTCGATCGGTCAGCTCGCTGAATAATTAAATCTAGTAACTGGGTCGAAGTCGATTAAATTAAGCGTTGGTAAAATCTCGAGTGTATTCAAACACAAAGTGCGCGTGTTGTTACTAGGAGCATCTTCGAACGACATTTCGTTTACTTGTGATATAAATGGTGTGCGTTTCACTTGATCGGACGTTAAAGTAGAATGCGATAAGACTGGTATGAGAGCTGTAAAACTGAACACTTGACGTCCGAAGAGAGTGAAGGTGTATTCAATCACTAATCAGGACCGTAGATTCAAGGGTCACTATTCATTGACACTCTAACTTCTTAAGCAACTTTGTAATCTATTAATGTGACTTCGATAATCTGAACATATGTTCCACTTATTTTCATCTTCCGCAGGGAATCGTAAGTGAATCGCTGTTTAGTCAACTGCCATTGTTATTGCAGTATCACTTTGCTATATTGATAAATGTACAGAAATTGCGAAATTGAATATCTTCATTTGGCTGCACTATTGCGATAAACAGTTCGATAGGGCACGTTACTTGATGCCTTGTTGACTCATCAGCCATTTACTGAAATATGGAATCAATAGAAGAAAATTAATAATCGGCGCGATTAGAGGATACTTCTCGTTCGTAATACTTTATGTCAACCACCGAAGTGAGTTAGAATCGTTCTTATTTTAATATTATAACATCCGAATGGGCTACCCTCTTATACTGAATAAATTCAGTTTTATCAATCAGCGTTACACCCATGCGCATTGTTCAGTGACACAACATGCTTACTGTGACTGAATCTCGAAACAGTCTAAATTCAGAACATCGATATGATGGTGGAAAGGAAGCGGGCTCAGCCACTCTTTCATTATCGTCAAATTCGTCTTTACATTGGACTTCTTCTGATGCTTGCCTTCTTCTGCACCGTTTCGATGCGAACAAATCTTGGTGAGTAGTACTTTATGTTTTTTTTTTCTTAATTAGTCACCCATTCAGATTGCTCATTTTTGTATTCAGTGAATGAAAAAAACGATATGCTTAGGTATGGCTATGGTATGTATGGTTAATGCAACAGCATATTCCCCATCAATCACTCAACTTAACAGATCCCTCGAAAGTGATTCTACGAAATCAGTTTGTCCGAATCGAGAGGCTGTCTTTGGTGAAAATGCAACGGCTCTGAGTGAAGCTGGATATAAGGTATGTTTATTAACAACAAAAATTGGAAGTGATAATAATGAATCACCACGCATCTGTCTGTGTTAATCCTCGTCGCACATTAATAGGATGTGGCATGAGAGTTGAATGAACAAATTTGAATTCGAACGATTATCATCGATGTTTTATGTATTATTGAATTTGTGGCAACAATTAATCAAAGTGGCAAATTCAATTGGGACGACCGTTGAAAAGCATTTCTTCGGGCATATTCATAACGGATACGTTGTGCATACGCTGCAACTGATCAATCAAACTAGCTCAAAGCACTTCAGAGTAAATGCATAATTCAGGGCAGTTTATTGTGGTCACCGAGTATGCAATCTGCATTATATTCGGCAACCTTCTACGGCGGTTTCATTACGATATTCTTCTCGGGGTATCTGGCCGATCGTTATGGACCCAAATACATGTTATTATTGGCGATGCTTGATTATATCGTAGTCACATTATTCACTCCGTTACTCGCCGAGTTCAACTACTACGCATTTTTCGTTGCTCGAGTTATTATGGGTCTTGGAGAGGTGATTTCAACGTTTCTTTGTAATAATTAAATTTGCAGTCAATCCATTTGTATCAAACTTAGCAAGCAAATATCTCAACTGGGTCCAATGAATATAACTGAATGATAACTACGACCAGTCTCACATAGAAAATTTGAGAAGCATATCGAAAAAAAAGAAAAGCAACTAAAAAATAAATACCTCGGCACGCTTGCATCTCAAAAAGCATGCCAAACACTGAGCGAAGGCTTTCTTATACAAACAACATCGAATTTCATCTAATTTCAACACAACGGATCAAAAAACAAACTTAGTGAGAGTTACAAGAAGCACTGATTTGGAAAGAGATGATCATTTATCACTGCAAAAAAGTCCGAAACTGAATCAGAAAAGTAAATGCATTAATTGACACGATAAAGATTCGGAACTTTGTTGACTGCAAAATCGAAGTAACATTATGAAAACGTGTCTGTCGAACATGAAAAACGATCAATTTTTATCATTTGTTCAAATTTGTTCAAATACATAATGGAATTTGCGTTGGACTTCGCAGCAATTGACAGTTTTAACACCAATCGGCCACTTGGGTCCTAAAATTGTAAAATATTCAGTTTCACCACTACCTTTCACCACTACTCCAGCCATTTACATAATGGCTGGAAGATCGAGCCACGCTGAACAGTAAGAGATTTTCTGTAAGTGAATCCAGCAATAATTGCCATTCAGTTCGAACTTCATTCGGGAGTTGATGAGGGGTATTCACAATGCACTAACAATAAAAATGACTGCACTGCAGGGCATCATGGTGCCGGCAATGGCGTCCGTTGCTGGCATTTGGTTCCCACCATTTGAACGAAGTACAATGGCTGCAATATACACATCCGGTAATCAGTTAGCTGGCACATTCGGTGTACTCATCTCAAGTAGACTTTGCGAAGTGGAACAACTCGGTGGATGGTATTCCATATTCTACATTTTCGGTAATTTTTACGCTGTGTTTTGGTCTTGTTAAGATCAATGTTAACGAACTGATCAGTTGAAACGTTGATGCAGCGTTCTTGGACAAAATGTTGCAACTGTCCGATATGACCTTCAATTTGATGAGCTATTTGATTTGAGCGAATAAAATCAACATTTCTTCCAGAAATGTTTCTTATCAAATATTCATCAGTATAACAACTAGAAAGTTGTTTGGAAAGTTTATCGATTAATTCTTCTTTTCAGCAATATTAGGATTGTTTTCTGCCGGTCTCTGGTTTGTGGTTTCATCAAATTCGCCCAACACTAACCGTTGGATTTCTGAAGACGAAAAGGCGTACTTGAACCATGAAATGGCATATCTGGTTGCTAAGAAAAAGGTTCGGGCTTAATGTCGCACTTAATTACTGTTGTGGTACTATACCATCAACATTTTATTTAACAATTCACCAACACAACTAATAATATAGTATCAGTTTCGAGACCAGCCGAAGTCCTCGACTGGACTGAACGTTCATTCAGTCATAAAAGATACGAAGAAATACAACAATTAGATATATACCAATAATGATTCAGCGGCAATCTAGATTCGTTCAAAGGTACCTTGGGTCGCATTGTTCACTGCTCCGTGTGTGCTCGCAAGTTTTCTAAGTCAGTTCTCGTATAACTTTCTTCAAACAATGATGCAGTCCTACTTGCCAACCTATTTCAAGGACGCCATAATGGTTGACTTGCGGAGCGTACGTTTCGTTCTTTACTAATCAGTAGTTAGTTCATGATCTGAACGCGATTCTACCGTTTCGTTTCCCTTTGTGTTGATTTGGCATTTTTCGGGCCTTGTTTGATTACTGTGTCACAAAATTGATTTGAAAGAATGCTTACAAGCAGAACAAGCCTTCATAAGCAGTGAAAATGTGAGCATCTAGCTGTACACCACTTAAAAGTCACCAAATGTTGCCAGTTGAAAATCGAAACTTGTGGCACAGTTAGCGAATAAGATTCAAGCTCGCATTCGTGGAGATCCATTTCTTATTGTGATTATAATTTGTAACTCTTCAGAATGGCCTATACACAGCATTACCGTTTTTCTGTCAACTTGTTTTCAAAAATCTTTTGGCAGTTTTATCTGATCGGCTGAAAAAAGCGCACTTAATTCATCCGACAACAGCGTGCAAAATATTCCAAACGATATGTAAGTGGAAAATGAATTGTTCATTGAGTTGATGTATGTTCATAGAAAGCGAGAACAAGAATGGATCATCGAAGGATAATGAATAGAGCGGGTGGAATATACTTTTCAGTATGAGGACGTTAAAAATGCTCGTTTGGAACGAAGTGAAATGACTGTTAGGGATCGGAAATCTGAATGAACGCGTCACATGTTTAATGATGCGACGAGTTGATTACGGCTGATTTCATCTGGAATTTACTCTTGAAAATTATCAGTGGGAAGATTATTACAACAGCGCTTCGAATCATGCAGAATTGCAATGAAATTGTAATCTTTCATCAATTTTAGTTACATTTGGTTCGGCAGTTTCGCTTATTTCACTGGCGTTGTTTGTCGATTGCACGAAACCAACATTAGCTGTCGTTTTGCTGGCGTTAACTGGTGAGTTGAGCACTTTCTTNATTCGATTAATTCGGAATCTTACGGCGCATGAATGATGTCAATTTTCGAAGATCTAGGCATTTCACAGGAAACGTCAAGATGGTTTGGAAACTTCATGATCGCTGCACGAACAGAAAAGAGCAGATATTTTATGAGTGTGTCAGTAGGGTGGGAGAACGTGATTTGAACGGAACGCTGAAGATGGAAAATACTCACAATCAGATTCGTGTGATTGCTCGGCTATAATAGTGGAAAACCTCAAAATTTGAAAAACTGCAGCTTCAATCTGATCTATTGGCCAGAAGATGGATATAAAATTCCAAATTTTTGTGTGAATGCAATTTATCAATTACATTACAGCATCTTGTATGGCCTCGTCAACACCTGGCTTCCTCACAAGTCTCTTGTGCATTGCACCAAAATATTCAGGCACCATGGTATCGTGCTCTATGGTACTTGGTACGCTAGCGAATATTGCTGCACCAAATATTATTGGCGGTTTCATTCTGAAAACGGTCTGTTTAAAATCTTTGTAGCACATTCGATGTTAAGTTCGATTTATAATATTGTTGGGTGCAAATTCATACTACTCGCTGAAATTCATACGGCATCAGTTCAGTATGACTGAACATGAAATGAGACGTCAGAAAAGGTACTCGCCCTGGACTGCAGCTTAAGAGCTGCGTGTGAGCAATTTATACACTGAAGTTCGATTATCTGGAGTGTTGATGAATAGATACAATTTGTGTTGAATTTGAAGTAAATAACGATGCAGTGACTGAAGTATACACTCGAAGAGTTCACTTATAATAGATCTTTGTTTCCGCTTCGATGTTTCAACTGTCCTCTCTCCTTAATTCATCGTTATCTTTCAGGGATCACCTGAGGAATGGGCAGTTGTATTCTACGTTTGCGCTGGAATATGCATATTCGCTGGAATTGTCTTCCTAATTTTTGGATCAAGTAATTCATTTTTTGCTCCCCTTCGATATCTATGCATTCCATACTTTTGACGCATGCGTTATGTGCATTTAAAACACTCTATCGCATGCAATTGTTCCTTATAAACCAACTACTCAGCTGTCACGACGATGAAGACTTTTAGTTCGAGTTACAGTCTTCCTTTCTAAATTCAATTGTGTTTGGAATTGCGATTGCGGTGCTCTCCTTCAACCGTTTGGATGCATATTAACAACCGTCAACAACTTTGGCTGAAAAAAAGCAATCAATTTTGAACTGAATAGGAAATTTTATGGGATTTTTGGAAGTAAAGTGCAATAAAGTGGATCGTTGAAGGTGTGGAACAAGAATGGGCAAAATCGTCAGTGGCACCAGTCGCTGAGAAACGAGTTCAGAATGTGGCTGTCGAGGAAGGATGTGGCCAGTTGGATACTGTAAAAGTTTGATGACCAATAAGCAATGAAAAACCATCAAAGTAGTCTCGATGAGCGACATTAGATATGTCATTTTGTGATGAAATGCAGTAGTGAATTATAAGTGTACATGTTATTTATTACTGATGTCAAATATTGAACTTTAATACATTCAGTTCAAGTTTAATTCAATATCGGAGTTGAATATGCTGATGTTATAATCAACAGTGTTTTCCGCAACTAGCTCATTTCCTTGAAACTAGTAGTATTTGTGAAGCATCTTGTCTGTACAGTTTTTCGAAAGAATGATCAAACTACCTCTGAAATGAAAATGTTTTTGATGCTATTGGAAATGAGAAATGCGTCCTCTGGTTGAGATGCTCATTGGATCGGTTGTTCATGCTATCGCTTACTCAATATCAGTGGTTCTCAACCTCTTTTCCCTTTTGCACCCCCTGAAAAATTTTGAATTGTCCTCGCACCCCCTAAAACAATACTTAAAATCTCCTCACATCCTTCACAACTCTCTCATCCACTACAGTGAGTGTCTGTAGTGTAGATAAGTGTATATCTTTAGAGTACGTTCAAGCCTTTTTAAAAACGTATACGTTAAAGTCCATCCTCGCCTACTTTACACTAAAATTTTATCTCGCAGCCCCTCCCACCCCACCCACTCTCGCTCCCCCTTGCATGTCATCTCGAACCCCCGAGGGGTGCGTGCGCCTCCGGTTGAGAAAACCTGCTCTATATATTCGTTCAACCGTAAATGTATGTACTGAATAAACTCAGGCCTTGCTGCCTAATGTTACCTCACAGACTGGCTGATCAACTGTTCCAGCAAACAGTTGACCTGCCATTGAGAGTTGAACCAGTGATAAAGGGAGATTCATTTCGATCAAATTGAAAGTCAAAAAAACCAAATAATCGCGCATATACC